ACTCTATAGCTGAGTCAACTAGGTGTTTGGTATTACTGTCACTTGAAGAACCTTCTTTCCTTGAAGAACCTTCTTTCAACACCTAGTTGACTCAGCTATAGAGTCAGTAAAGCGGGTAAAACTGGTATTACTGTCAACTCTATAGCTGTGTTAACTAGGTGTTGAAAGAAGGTTCTTCAAGTGGCAGTAATACCAGCTTTACTGACTCTATAGCTGTGTTAACTAGGTGTTGAATGAATTATTTAATTTGCATTGTAAAAATGTCAGGTCACAATGTCAACTCAATACTTTTTATTAAAAGCTGTATTTTCAATGTTACTATTGTGCATATTGTCTTGAAGACAAAATATATCCACTGTTTTTGTTATAATTTCACTGTTTGCTAGATAACCAGGATGATGACACTAGATTTAGAAAGATCATGAAACAACAGTGGATTTACTCGACTACTTTTAAAGATGTAGGAAACCTGGCCTTTACCACCAAGACTTTAATGAATTAACAGTTGTTATCAAGGCAGAACCCAACCAGGTCAAAGAAACAATGAAGAACTAACCAAATAACAAGAATTAGCTGGATTTAGAAGTGAAGTTTAGCTGCCACTTGAAGATCCTTCATTAAACACCATCCATAAGTTTATTGATAGAAAATCATGCAACACGTTGAATGACACTGGTTCTACAGCTACAATAGTTTGACCCAATTTGGTAATGATAGGTGGGAAACTGTATCAAAAGATGATAAAGAAGGTGGATTAATACAAACAGTAGGCATCAAGTTCTAGAAGAAGAAAGTTACCCTTACTGTAGCAAGCTTCTCTACACCTAATGATGTGTGGATGATAAACATGGAAGATGACTTCATTTAGAGACACGGATGCGAAGTTAAGCTAGCTTCACAGTCTATGATCAGGAAATCCTTGTGCACTACATGGCAGTTACTACACCAAAGGTTAAACTTCCATTGACAATAAGGAGGGTAGTCATTGTTCCACCAAGAAGTGGAATACTCATATCAGGAATTATTGGTAGTAAATCTTCATCTAATGACAGGGGCATAATCAGGCCCTCTCAGAGTTTCACAGAGGCCTGGGCCACTTGTATCTTTTTGAGGCCCCTGGCTATAACAAAAAAAGAAAATTATGACAGATGAAAACGAAATAAGACAATCAATATCCAAAAAGAAAAGTGAAACATAATTTGGATATTTAATTTGTATATGTAATTTGCAGCTCTAGTTTTATTTAAGAAAGGACTTGTATCGCTGAATTTTTCAGAAGGCATTTTTATGGGATAATAACAATTGACCAGAGACGTAACAATATTCAAAAGTTATGTTTGAGGTGAGGGCTACTTTTAGTTGCAGAATTTATGCTCAAACGTTTATTTATGAAATTAGGCCTAAAAGTGAAAGTGGCTCTAACAAACTTTATTGAAGAAATAATTTAATTCATTATCTTCAGAAGAATTGTATTTCACAATATTTTCACAAATAATTCAAAAGAACCCACCCAGCAACAATATTCTTAAACTAAAATAATCGTAACTTGTTGTTCCAATGGTTAGCCCTACAAAGTGTTGATTAAGAGAAAAGAAGAAAGCAGTAAGTTACAAGTAACCACTGCTGTTAAACCATGATAACTGCTCATTTGTAAACTATCAACTTCTATATAATGACAAAGTTATTTTAGAAATACTGCTTTTTATTAATTGATTAATGAATTACATCTTTAAAAAAATAAAATTTGGTAATTTGATTTTCCTTCACAGAATCCCAACTTCAGAGTTTCTGCAATGTTGATGTTAGAGATGAAACAGGTTACATCTCATCTCCAGGATTTCCCTACTTCTATCCCCAGCTGGACAGATGTACATGGAACATTACTGGTGGTGAGGGCCAGAAAGTCATGGCACAAGTTTTGGATGTCTCTACCTCTCCGCCTCGACAACATTATGGCCAGGTAGTTTGTGATGATAATCTATCTTTAATAGAAACTGATGATAGGAAGCTGATGATGACTTGTGGGGATACACTGGACTTCTTGAAGCAAGTAGAGAGTCAGGGTAACAGTTTGAGGATCAACTTTCAGACTGCTCACTTTAACCCTTTTCGAGGATTTCTTCTCAGGTATCAAAGTAAGTAGTCTTCTCAGACACCAGTGTAAATTGTTTTGTGCCTCTCTCTCACAATGCCATGCAGCACTGATGGTAATCAGTTACTAGAATCAGTTGCTAGTCCATGCATGCCTTTTATAAGTTGCCAAATATTGTTTTAGTTTTCCAGATTCCACTGTACTACTAAACTGATTTTGTGTAAACTTTTGAATTATTTCATAAACAAAAATTTGACAATTATTCTTGGCTGAACTTTACGTATTCTTAAGTTTCCTAAAATTGTCATCACATTTTCAAATATTGTGAACAAGTTACTTGGGGTTTCACTAACTTTCTCCATCTGTTTCAGTAAAGAACTGCCCTACTCTTCCTCCTCCAAAGTTGGGGTATCTTCATCATCGGAATGAAAGCTCAGCTGCTTACATGTGCTACAAAGGCCATGTATTCAATGATTCTCTGGTAAACTTGGAAACATTATTATGCATTGATGGAACTCATTGGAATACTACTTTATCCACTTGTATCCGTAAGTATAGGTTAAGTATATATATCTTCATACAGTTACGAGGTAAATATTAACTTGTTTCCTTTACTGTATAGGTTAAGTATATATATATCTTCATACAGAGTAAAGGAAACAAGTTAATATTTACCTCGTAAGTATAGGTTAAGTATATATATATCTTCATACAGAGTAAAGGAAAAAAGGTAATATTTACCTCGTAAGTATAGGTTAAGTATATATATATGTTACGTATCTGCTTGTTTGATAATTTCCGGTAAAAATTCTTTCCGAGAAACTTCAGCAATTCAAGTCCCTTCTTGATTAAAACTAGTTTATTCTTTCTCGTTACAAATTTTGTAATACACTTAATTTCCACAGTCACTTTAACTTAACACACGCTACAATTCACAACGATTCACACACTTTACTTCCGGCTTGACTCGATTATCTGTCTCTATATCTCCCTATCTGCAATTATATCTCCGCTTTATTTGCCGGGCTTATATACAAAAATAGAGGGCGTCTGGCAAACACTAGAGTTACCAGGAACAGTCATGATCCTTTTAGAAACTCATGATGTGTTACCAGCGTCATGTGACTTCCGCTGTCGTAACACT